CCTGGCGCAGCAGCTGATGCGCCTGCGGGCGCAGCTGCACCGGCTGAAGGTGGAGCAGGCCTGTCACCAGCACAAGGAGATGCTGGATGACGCTACCTTCGGCCTGGAGGGCTGCGAGGAAGACTCCGACCTGCTCTGCAACATCCCACCCAAGGCTGCCTTCCTGCTCTCCATGCCCCTCAAGCACATCGGCGTCACCCGCATGAACATCAACTCCCGACGGTTCTCCCTCTGCTGAGCAGGACCCCACGGCCACCTGTGGGTGTGCCCGGACCTGGTAGGGCTCCAGAATTCCTCCCAAAAATGCCTCCAGGACTATGGAGCTGCTGTTGGGGCTGAGATCCCCTCGGGGTGGGCAGTGCTGAGCTGAGGTGCTGCCACCCCTGCCATGGTGGCGGGGGAAATGCCACCGTCCCCATCGGGCACAGGGTGTTTTTGGGCACCCAGTGCCCTGTCCCTAAGGATGGTGGGGTCAGCTACAGTGGAAAACATGGGGAGCAGCCCTTTGAGGAGGAATAAAAGGAGGTGAAGGTGAGAGATGGTGGTTTTTCCTTGGTTTTTTTTTGGGGGGGGTGGGTGGCCAGCACCTGCCTGTGCCTCCAGATGTGGGTCCTGACCCTTTGCTGTGGGGGACATGGAGGTGGCAGGAGGGATGGTGCTGCCTTTGCCCCTTCCCTGGCCGTTCCCGGGGGCTCTGGCTCGTGGCGTGGGTGGCATCTCACGGCAGGATGGTGCCGTGCCGGGGAGATGGTGTCTCTGCTCTGAGGACTTTGTTGCCAGCCTCTCCAGCGGGTGGGTGCCCGGGCTGCGCCGTGTCAGGAAACGCTTGTCACCAAACCGGCTGCAAACGGAGGGGTTGTTTTTGAGGCTTGAAGCCGGGAGGTGTCAGGGGCTGGGCTCAGGCTTTGGCAGCCCCCGTGCCCCCATCCTGCCCCGTCCTGGGACCCCCTGCAGCACAGAGATGGGCGCAGCAGGGACCCCGGGCTGGTACCAGTGGAGGCTGGCAATGCTGTCCTCACCAGAGGAGTCTGGTTTTGTTTTCTTTTCCCCTCCTCCATTAACACCAAACCCTTCACAAACGAAATTGCCGCTTGGGGATGTGACTTTCACAGAAGGCTTTTGGCAAGCAGCGCTGGGGAAGAGGTGGGGTGACCCGGGGAAGCTGTGGGGTGACCCAGGGCTGATTTTGGGGGCTGCTTCTTCCCAGGGTAGCAGCAGGACAGGGGAAGAGCCCGATGTGCACCCCGAGGCTGCAGCACTCCCCAGGGCCTGGCAGAGCTCCCCACCACCCCTGGGGCTCCCATGGTGTTGGTGAGCACGATGGGACGGGGGCTGCGTGGCTGCCCCTGAGAAATGTCCCTGCCGGGGTGGATGCTGCCCCCAGTGCTAGTGCTGTGGTGCCCCCCCGGCCGCCGCAGCCCCCCCCAGCACAGCTGGGCTTCCTGCCTGTGCCTCCGCAGAGCAGCCGGCGGGTACCTGCGGCTTCGTGTTTGATCGCAAAAGCCAAGACAATGGTGTTGTGGTTGCTCTGCTCAGAGCCGTCTCCAAAAAAACCAAAACAGCACAGGGCTGGTGGCCCTGGCCAGGGGCACAACGCGTCCCCTCGGCTTCAGCCACTGTCACCACCGCTCTCCGGGTGCTGGGATCTGGGGTGAGCCGGTGGTGACAGCCAAAGCAGGGGCTGTGGGATGCAGGATGGGTCCCACAACCTGTGTAGGGTCCTCTGGTGTCAGGGGAGGCTGGTGCATGGCACCACCATCCTACCCACACTGAGCACCAGAGAGGGGACAGCACAGGGGACCGGGGTGGGCTCAGCTGGCCGGGAGTGCCCAGGCAGCGGGTGACAGACCCCTGGCCATCACTAGCCCCTCACAGCACGTCTCTCAGCCTGCGGGACCCCGCTTTCCCACCAGCCAAGGGGCTCAGCGTCTCCTTGTCCACCGGGTCCCTGGTGGCTGGTGGCCGGGGGCACCCGGAGCAGGGACCCTCGGTGCCGGGGATGGCAGGAAGCCATCAGGGTTTGTCACTAGTTCTTGCGGTCGTGCGCGAGCTGTGAACCAGCTTCTCTAGAGTTTGCTCATGAGGCAGGAAACCAGGGCGAGGCGGCGAAGCGAGAGCGAGCGGCGGGGAGCGCGCGCGCCCGTGCGCTGGGGGGCTCGTCTCTGCTCCCCAGAGGATCCCCACGCTCCTGCTGGGGATGGAGAGGATGTGAGAGGGGACGGTGACTTCTCCTGCCGTGGGGCCATGGGACTCTGAGAGCTGCTGGTCCTCACCTCGCTGCCAACAGGTAATGGGGACTTGGTGGGGAGAGGGTTCTCAACCTCTGGATGGAGCTGGGGACCACCTGGATGCTGTGGAGGGTTGGGGGGTCCTGTTGTCCTCTCCAAAGTTGCCCCTTGGAGAGATGGAAATGGGGGTTGAAGGCTTGTCACTGTGGGGGGGACGTGAGCGCTGGTGCCGGGGTGAGGGATGGAGGGAGCGGGGATGTGCTCCCCATTCCTCTGTGGCCTCCCAGCTGGGGGGAAAGGTGCTTCCCCGATGTCCTCTGCCTGCCTGGTGGCCCTGCCCAGGGTGGGAGCGCTGGCCACCTCGCAGGGCTCTCCCCCAGCCCCCATTTCCAGGGCAAAGCAGGAGTTTTGTCCCCAAGGCCAGTTTGGCGCCGGTCCATTGGGGTCCACTGCCCAGTTTGGGGGGGCTCAGGCACCGAGATACACCCAGTTTCGGGGCTGTCTCAGCACCAACAGCTCTCCCCTGCGATGGCAGCTTGGGGACTGTGGTCCTTCGTGCTGCCGGCGTGGGGCTGGGCTCTCCATCTGGGTCACAGCTGGCTTGGGGACATCCGGGGTGCCCCGGTGAGCCTTGAAGAGGAGCAGGGAGAGGGTCAGCCCAACCTTCAGCCCTCCTCACGCCCGCCCACGCCAGTGAACAAACCAACCGGACCCGGCCGAAGAAGCATGTGTGGAAGGACCAGCCCCAGGGCAGCTCCTCCAGGAAGAACCAGGAGGGTCCAGACACGCTCCCGAGCAGAGCCGGGGCTGGGGGGACGCATAGGTGGCTCTGGAAGGATGTGCCCCCCCCATGGGGATATGGCGAGGCACAGGGCGCCTACACATCCCTCTCTCCCTCCCTCCCAGGCAGCCTCGGTACGAGAAATTCGGTTGCACAGATGCAGTCGCAAAAAAACACCCCGACTTCAAACGCCCCTGTGTCACCGGTGTGGCCCTCGCACACCGCGCAGGTGAAACGGCTGCTGGGTGGAAATTATGCTGCGGCTTGAGTATATAAGGGAAAAAAAAAAACACAAAAAACCCCCAAAAAACCAACAACAACAAAAAAAAGGCACAATAGCAGCACGTCCCTCCCCACCCTGGCTTTGTGCAGGGAGGAAAAAACACCTCCTGGCACCGCTCGCCTTCGGTAAAGGCATTTTTAGGGCTTGTGGGGAGGCCTGGGGGAGTGGGGGCTTCTCTGCGGGGTCGGGGTTGTGCTCGGGGTGGGCATCGCTGGGGCATTGCCCGCTCCCCTTGCCTGCCTTGGGGCACCATGACGGAGCCCCTTCTTGGGTGCCAAAGAGCGTTCCCAAATAGGTGTCACCAGAAGCTGAAGGCACCAGGGTGGTTTTTAGCGTTTGAGTCCCCAAAGCAGCATTTTGTGGCGTGGGGGGGTGGGTTTGGTCATCCCCGCTCTCCTCTCCAAACTTGCCAATCGGCCCCTTCCATCGGCCACCGTGGTGATGAGCACCCTGAGGTGGCACCGTGGGGATGGCCACCATGATGCTGCCGTGGATGCCACGACATCCCTGAGGGAGGGGGTTCCTGGTCTAACCAGCCCTGGCCGTGCAAACGGGGGGTTTTGGCTGGCAGCAGCTTCTGGTGGCCAGCGCTGGTGGCACTGGGGGCTGGCAGCCCTTGGGAGCCCCCAGCCTCGGGGACCCCCTGCGAGGCTCTTCCAGCTGCCCATGGGGGTACCCACTCAAACGAAGACCCCACTGCCATGATCTTCCCAGCGTTGTGGAGAGAGGTGGATTTTTGTGTTTGCTTGTGAAAATAGTGCCCTGCGATGGGCTCCCGAGTAGGAAACCAAGGAGAAAAAAGGGTCAGTGGCTCCCGGGGCACAGCCAGCCCCCTTGGGGACCCGGCTCACTGCAGGGCATGGTGGGGATGGGGACCCCCCGCAGCTGCACCGTCTCGCTGCCAGATAAGAGCTCCTGCTCGGCGTTTGGCAAAGCGGCCGCTGTTTTTGGGTGCTGGGGGCAGAGACACCTGGGCTGGCTCCTGGCGGCGCGGGGCTCCCAGCCCTGCCGTTGGCACCCGGCGTCTGCGGAAACCACACCGGGGCCCCCAGAGAGCCAGCCCCCCCCCCAAAAACCTGCTGGGCAGAACCTGGAAAGAGGGTTTGGGGGCCAGGTTTTGGTGGAGAGAAATCCCGGTGGCGTGGGCGCTGGGGGATTCTACGGAAGAGTATTTTCCAGGGCCGTGGGCCGCCGTTTCCTCGTGACGCATTGCCGGGGCTACCAGCTCTGTGCCACGCCAGGCTTCTGTGGGAAGGGGGGAGCTGGCCAGAGCCCATCCCACGCTGGTGGCATCGCTGCCAGGTTGCCCCGGTGCCCACACCGTGCTGCCGGGGACCCTGTGTCAGTGTCACCCTAGCCGGGGCTGATGCTTGAGGTTGAGGGGGTCATTGATGTTTTTGGAGGGGACCTGCCAAGGATGAGGAGACCCTGAGCAGGGATGGGGGTTTAAAGCCCATCCCTGACACAGGAGAAACAGGGGCACAGCGATGGGGTGAATGCTGGGGGGGGGCAGGCTAACGAGAGCCCCAGGGAGAAGGAAATCGGAGGCAATGCAGTGTGGGTGGGGGAACGCTCGCATCCGCCTCCCACCCCAGGAGCCACTTTTAGGGCCGGGGAAGTGCCTGGTCCAGCCAAACCTTGTAAAAAAAACCCCACGTTGCAGGGCCAGGACGTATTAATTACTAATGGGATACTCATGATTAGATTGTTATCTAGACAGAGAATGTAGGGATCAGCCCAAGGGCCGTAGGGTGGGACGGAGCTGGCGAAGGAGGACACACTGGGAAAGGGGAGCCTCAGGCTGGGAACTAATTGCCTTCAGTGTTTTTAATTAACGAAGCCAGAACAAAATTAAGAGGAAATACGGCTGGTGACCGAGAGTCAGGGGATGCCCTCAGTTCAGCAGAGGACCTGGGGAGTGGGTGGGATGGGCCATGAGATGTGGGCAGCCAGATGGACGGACACGGGGCTGGGGATGTGCTGGAGTGGGGGGAGAGGCAAGGCTGGGCTGGGGGGGCGAAGGCTTCCCCCGTCACCTCTTGTCCCCCTGCAGCCACCATGGGCTGCTGCTGCAGCTCGGACTACGACGACGACTGGATCGAGAACATCGACATTTGTGAGCACTGCAATTACCCCATCGAGCCCGACAGCAAGCGCCAGGTGAGGGGGGGGTTGAGCAGAACCCCCCGTCCCCCATCCTGGTGGCCAAACGCCTCCCGAGATATCCCTGGGATGGGCAAATCCCAGGAGGACAAAGGCTCACAGGGCTCCTTGTCCCCTCGCAGAGGCTGATCCGCAATGGCTCCGAGGTGCAAGACCCACTGGTGTCCTACGAGGGCACGTCCCCGCCGTGCTCCCCCCTGCAAGGTAAGGTCCAGCCGCGGCAGGGGACAAGTGTGGACACCCCCCCAGTTGACCACTGCCAGCTTGCCCCTCCGCTTGTCCTCCCAGATAAGCTGGTGGTGGCCCTCTACAACTACGAGCCAAAGCACGATGGGGACCTGGGGCTGCGGAAGGGGGAGAAGCTTCGCATCCTGGAAGAGTGAGTGGGCGCCGATGGCACCCCAGAACCCATCCTGGTGTGACCCCGTGGCTCCCCTGGGGGTCTGTGTGGGGTCCTGGCGGCCGGGGAGGGTGTCTCATCTTGCTGTGTCCTTGCAGGAGTGGAGAGTGGTGGAAGGCACAGTCGCTCACCACTGGCCAGGAGGGTTTGATCCCCTACAACTTCGTGGCCATGGTGAACAGCCTGGAGCCCGAGCCGTGAGTGGGGGGAGTTGAGTGGGAGCCGTGCCCGGGCAGGAGCTGTGCACATGGCAGGGGAAGGTGCCAGGAGCATCTCCTGAAGCACTGGTGGGGGAAGGTCGCCTGAGATCCAGCCCTAATCCTGCCCCGTGTCCCCAGGTGGTTCTTCAAAAACATCAGCCGCAAGGATGCGGAGCGGCAGCTCCTGGCGTCGGGCAACACCCACGGCTCCTTCCTCATCCGGGAGAGCGAGACCTCCAAAGGTACCTCCCGCGGGTCCCACCGGCTTCTCCTGCCACCAGCACTGGGAGGAGCCCTGGGACCCCACACCCACACGGTCCCCCATCTCCCCAGGCTCCTACTCGCTGTCGGTGAGGGACTTTGACCAGAACCAGGGTGAGACAGTGAAGCACTACAAGATCCGCAACATGGACAACGGGGGGTACTACATCTCCCCCCGCGTCACCTTCAGCAGCTTGCACGAGCTGGTGGAGTATTACACACGTGCGTGCCCTCCAGGGTCTGGGGGTGGTGGGGCAACAAGTGGTCCAGGGGCTGGTCCTGCTTGCAGGCATGGGATGGGGATGGGATGGGATGGGAAAGATGGGGATAGGAGGGGATAAAATGGGGATGGGGCGGGAAAAGATGGGGATGGGATAAGAAGGGGTAAGATGGGGATGGCAATGGGAATGAGGATGGAGATGAGATGGGGATAGGATGAGGATGGAGATGGGATGGGATAGAATGAAATGGGGATAGGATGGGGATTAGGATGAAGATGGGGATGGGGTGGGATAGGAAGGGGTAAGATGGGGATGGCGATGGGATTAGGGATGGAGATGGGATGGGATGGGTAGGACCATGTGCCCCAGTGAAGGCATCAGCTTGTGCCGGGTGCCCCGAGCCCCTGCCCGCCCTGACGCTGGCCCTGCCCGCCCCTGCACCGCAGGCAGCTCCGACGGGCTGTGCACCCGCCTCGGCAAGCCCTGCCGGACCCAGAAGCCACAGAAGCCGTGGTGGCAGGACGAGTGGGAGGTGCCGCGGGAGTCGCTGAAGCTGGTGGAGAAGCTGGGAGCTGGGCAGTTTGGAGAAGTCTGGATGGGTGAGTCAGGGTGAAACAGGGATGCAGTTTCAGGGTGAAACTTATTCCTCCCGGATAAGGGCACTGGTGTGGGCAGCATCAGCTTTCCCAGGGGATTTGTGAGTGAAGGGTGCCACCTGCATCGTGTCCCCACTGAGCTGGGCTCTTTGGCACGGGGCCTGTCAGCACCGGGGGTGCCCCCAAACAGAAAACATCCCTTGCTGTGGCTGCTGCTGCCACGCTGGGAGCAACTGGGGGCTCGGAGGCAGCGTGGGGGCTCCAAACATGCTGCCACCCGTCCACAAAAGCACCTTCTGCTCCCTGGGTGGGGAAGGGACTGCCCCACTCCTCTCCATCTTGCCCCACAGCGGGGTCTCTGCCTTTGCTCCTACAAGTGCTGGCCATCCCCCAAAGTCTCCTCCGGACACCTGGCTTCAGCATCGCTGCCCAGCTCCTCCTCTTCAGCCAAACTTTTCCATCTCCAACATCTCCTGCTTGTGCAGCCTTGGGTTGGGATGCTCTAGGTCCACAGAGTAGCCCCCACGCTTGCCTCCTTGGCCAGCACTGATATTGCCACCACGTCCCTTGGCCGTGCCCCCATGACGGGATCCCTCTGCCCCGTCACGCTCTGCCCCGTCTCTCCGCAGGCTTCTACAACGGCCACACCAAGGTGGCCGTCAAAAACCTGAAGCAGGGCAGCATGTCACCCAGCGCCTTCCTGGCGGAGGCCAACCTCATGAAGAACCTGCAGCACCCGCGGCTGGTGCGGCTCTACGCCGTGGTGACCAAGGAGCCCATCTACATCATCACCGAGTACATGGAGAAGGGTGAGGGCACCCGGGGGCTTCCCACTGTGGGTGGGGGGTGGCTGGGGGCTGTGCAGAGCCGTGGTGCTTCAGCTCCTGGTTGGTCCCTTTGGTGTCTCGAGCTGCTTTTGGCATCCTTTGCCTCCTTGGCCTTGCTCCACGGCTCTCCCAGCAGCTGGGAGCTCGGGGGTCAGCCCTGGCAGGGGGAAAAGGACCTTGCAGGCAGGGTGGTCTCCTGCCCACCCACTCCTGCCCGCCTTTCTGGGGGCTGCGAGCTGCCCAGCCCCACCATTGGTGTTTCACTCGGAGGACGATGCCCTGGTGAACCCACGGGTGCAAGACCCAGCCCCCAGAGGCACCGTGGGGCAGGGAGGCAGCGCTGAGACCCGCTCCCTCCCCGCAGGCAGCCTCGTGGACTTCCTCAAGACCTCAGAAGGACTCAAGCTCAGCATCCACAAACTGCTGGACATGTCCGCGCAGGTGAGGGGGGACGGAGCCGCGGGGCTGCTGGCGGGGAGGGTTCTGCCAGGGCTGGAGCTGGGGCTGCCCCCACGGCTTTTAATTGCAATTAATCCGGCCCACAGATCGCCGAAGGCATGGCCTTCATCGAGGCCAAGAACTACATCCACCGCGACCTGCGGGCGGCCAACATCCTGGTGTCGGACACCCTGTGCTGCAAAATTGCCGATTTCGGGCTGGCCCGGCTCATCGAGGACAACGAGTACACGGCTCGTGAGGGTGCGTGTCCTCCCCACCCCCCCGCCTCAGCCCCACCACTCTTGGGGTGCTCACTGGGGCTGTGGGAGGAGGAACCCCCCACTCACCCCGGCCTCTTCTGGGGTCCCCACGGTGCCCTGGGAGCAGCTCCTGGAGAGGGGAGCAGGCAGGGGGTCCTCCCCCGACCACTTCTCCCTCCAGCCACAGCTGGAGGGGGGGCTGCGGGATCTCACATACCCACCCGACCCTGCTTTTGGTGGGGTGACAGCCCTATCTGGTGGCTACTGCAGGAACAGACCTGCTGGCCCGCTGCAGGGGTGCCAGGCGGCGCTGGGGGCTCTGTACCCAGCCAGGCAGGGGGGGCAGAGGAGGGTTGTCACCAAACCCAGCTGGTCCCCAGGGATACAGCAGGGACAGAGTCTGACTCGGGGTTGTCACATCAGGTTAAACAGAGAGGGACATTTCCAGCTCAGCCTTATTTTCAGTTTTATTTTCTCCCCTCCCGCTGTTTTTTTCAGGGGCTAAATTCCCCATTAAGTGGACGGCGCCGGAGGCAATTAATTACGGAACGTTCACCATCAAGTCCGATGTCTGGTCTTTCGGCATCCTGCTGACAGAGATCGTCACCTACGGCCGGATCCCGTATCCAGGTCAGGATTTCCCGGCAGCTGCGCGGCAGAAGGGCTCACACACACACACACACACACACACTCACGCAAGCGCACACCCAGCAGTGCGTGCATGCACTCCCGCACGCACACACGCCACCCCGGCCGCCCCATCTGGCTCCTTTCCCTGACAGCCATCCCTGGTTTCCACCACTTCCCCAGGCACATGGCCACCCACCGCTCCAAAGCCACCCGGGGGGAGGGATGTTTCCGAGGCAGTAGAGAGGGAAAGCAGCTTTCCCATGGGATTTGCCAATGGAGGGTCCTACCTGCGATGTTGGGGGGGGGGGGGGGGGGGCCCAAACTTTTGGTCTATTATTAATCTCGGGTTGTTTTTTTTTGCGGCGGGGGGGGGGGGGGGGGGGGGTGTGACCCAAATTCAATGCTGTGTGCCTTGTCCTGGCAGGGATGACCAACCCCGAGGTGATACAGAACCTGGAGCGCGGTTACCGCATGCCGCAGCCCGACAACTGCCCGCAGGAGCTGTACGAACTGATGATGCAGTGCTGGAAGGAGAAGCCCGAGGAACGTCCCACCTTTGATTACATGAAGAGCGTGCTGGAGGACTTCTTCACCGCCACCGAGGGCCAGTACCAGCAGCAGCCGTGAAGACCCCCAGCACCGGCTTGGACAACCCTGTGTTGGGGTGTCCGGGGGCTCACGGTCCCCACACAGACTCCGTACACACGGCCCCGGGGCGCTGGCACTGCCTGGACCTCAGCAGTAAAGATCTGAAGCGCTTCAAATCTTTGGAGCAGCGGATTTCACCTTCCCCCCTGCCCCAGAAGGCGAGGGATGGCCAAAGCCAACAACTGACTCCAAAGAGTGGAAGGAGGGGGGGGTGTGTGGGGGGCTCTGGTGGGTGCTGTCCCTGCGGCCTCCAGCCCCACACGGGCCTCCAGCCCCCCCACCCCACCCTGGCTGGGCCTTGCTGCCTCCCTCAGCCCCACCGATGGTGGGTATCCCCCCCACAAGCGACGAGCACCCCATCCTTTGGCCGTGGGATGCTCTTCCTACCAACCACTGTCCACTTTTTGGGGGAAAGAAAGGCTTTTGCCCCGCCATGGCTGGAGGGTGTCAGTGCGGCCCAGGGAGGCCAGGCCGCCATGGGGCAGGCGGGGTGATGCCCACAGGGGATGGACCCGCCGACACCAAACTCCACCCCGGGGCGCTGCTGGGGGGCCAAGCCCCCCTCCTCAGGCCCACCCCGGCTGGGTCAGACCCTGTTCTCGCCCACCCCGGGGGGGACAAACCGGGGCCTGGGTGCCTGTGGAGGCCTCTACCGTGTGTGTGTCCCCCCGTCCCCTGGGATGGTTCAGCCTCACCTGGCGTGCCCCCCCCGCCCCCC